ACTAAACGCGTTTAGTCATGTCAACACTTTTTTTTTCTCAGTGTATAAATTAATGATAATAATTAACGCGCACGATATATACCTATGGAAAATTTTCAAGTAACGTTTCATCAAATCTTCGCGAATTTCGCTTAAAAGTATTTTGATATATTATATATTTCTCTCTCTCTCTTCGTGTTATATATATTTAATAGGCTTAACCAGAATAAAATGTTATTGAATGATATTTTATATATTTATTTATTTAAAATATATATGAACGATTAGTTGTTCTGAAAGAGAAACTTTTTATACGATAATATCTAGATAGATTGATCATTATAAAGATGATGATGAGTAACCAGAAAAATTTTAAAGATATATAATATATAAGAACTACAAATATATAATAACAAACACTGCTTGGTTAAAGATTGAGAGAATTTTCAGGAGGATATATAATTTACTTTACAATTTCTTATCAAATTACAAATTTGTAGACTACTTGTTATAGTTCATCCGCAAAATACTTTGTTAAAGTTTGTTATATACATATATGTATTATAAGTACAAGATTTTAGACTAATATTTAATAAAGTAATTTATAGATATATGTATATATGAACACATAAAAATGTCAAACTTTACATCTTTAGTACACTTTCTATACATAAGGTTAGGTAGAGATAAGATTTTCTTATCTCTCTTAGATATTACAAGAGAAAAAGACACAATAATCTGTGATTTAACAAAGATTTCTCGAAAAGTTTCTAATTTCTAGCAAAGCCTCAAGAAATAGTTAAGTTGCAAATCTTGTATCTTGCATTAACTTGCATGCACTTGTGAAAATTGAGTCTACGAATTATAGAGAACCGAGGTCGTAAACTCGAAGAATCTACTTCGCACACTCTGTGCTTATTACACAAAAAACAATAGGAAAAGAACTACCGCATTCTTTGAACATCATAACTTATACGAAAGTCTAGAACGTTGAGAATTATTACGTTATTTAACGGTTCTTTTTTTAGCGCTACTTATTCATCTCACAAAATGGGATGTCATTTGGACAGTTTAAGGATGTTTTGGCTGTACAATAGTAGCAAAAAACTGTCAAAATTAACAAAAAAAAGATATTTCTTACGTTTATACTGTTTGAGAAATCAAATAAATAAATTCGGATTATAAAAAGAATTAAAGTATCACAAAATAATATGATTTTTGACGTCTTCATAAAAAAGATAGTTGTCATTAATATTTTTCCTAATTTATGACAAAAACTATTGATGAATACTTCCTAAAATTAACTGCAAGAAACAAAAAACAAAAAAACGAGTAACTTGCAGAAAGAGAAAAAGAGACAGATAATATTTTTTTACAATTTTTAATAAATAACTTTTAAACGAATAAGTGGATCTAAATAAAGTTTTGCATAAATATTTATTAGAGTTTTCTTAATATATGTGAAAATTTTTGTTTCGCTGGCAATGTTTTTTCCTTGTCAAATTTGTCAATAAGTGCTACAATACGCGATTTTTTATAAGAATCAATAATAACTTTAAATTTAAATAATTTCCAAATCATTAAGAGAATTGTGCTCAGGTTTTGCACAGATATTCAGAAGAAATAATAGAACAGCCTATGAAATTTTCATGCTTTTGTCAATGTTTCGACACATGACACATACATCCTTAATCCAGTGCTCGGAATTAAATGCCCTTTTCGGGCCGATATCTGTGAGGCTGAGGCGATGTCTACGATTTCCCCACTACCGTTCAAGGCTTGACGGCCGAGCCGCCGATCACGCGTGTTATGCTGTGCCTCAAGAGAGTCCTTATGTAAAAAATGTGCTGGGATCGTACCTTTCGCCAAATCGTCATTAAAATTATCCTCTCTAAATAATTTGGTAAATATGCCGATGAAGGAAGGCAGTCTCGATACCTTGACCTTGACATATGTTGTCAAGATCATGACCCTGAACAACATTCAAAAGCTTTTAGCCGTCGCTCGTTTTTTATTAAAAAGTTATTAACAAAATAAGTTTAACAATTTGAACGTAATTGACTGCCACCGTGTACATAGCATAAATTTTAGTTTTAAATCAGAAATAGGTTTGGGTTAGGTTATATCTTCAGGAAGTGGAGCCCCCAGCAGGGGGGGTGGAACCCACTGTGTCCACGCATATACTTTACACTGAAAAAAAAAATTGTTAAGTTGACTAAAACCGTTCAACTAATTACCATTTTTTAAATTGAAATATTTATATATTTAAGTCAAATATACGTCATGTTAGATTTAATATGTCTTATTTGACTTAAATATATAAATATTTCAATTAAAAAAATGGTAATTAGTTGAACGGATTAGTTGAACGGATTAGTTGAACGGATAGTCAAATTAACAATTTTTTTTTTTAGTGTACAACGCGAAGCGACCACCCCACGATTGTTGTGTGGATGGGAAAGTGTATGCATAGACGCAGTGGGTTCCGCCCCCCCTGAGAGGCGGCTCCACTTCCGGAAGATATAACCTAACCCAAACCTATTTCTGATTTAAAACTAAAATTTATGCTATGTACACGGGGGCAGTCAATTACGTTCAAATCGTTAAACTTATTTTGTTAATAACGTTTTAATAAAAAACGAGCGACGGCTAAAAGCTTTTGAATGTTGTTCAGGGTCATGATCTTGACAACATATGTCAAGGTCAAGGTCATCGTTCCAAAACGAAACCAAATTCACTCTATATCTAACCTTAACCCTTCTAAAACGTACATGGTGTCGTAAAATTATGTTCTATTCATTAAAGTTTCTTCATTAATAATTTTTTAATAAACTACGAGCGACGGCTATGACCTTTTGACCGTTGCTCAGGATCATGACCTTGACAACATATGTCAAGATCAAGGTCATCGGGACTGCCTCCCTTCATCGGCATATTTACCAGAATAATTTTAATAACGATTTGGCGAAAGATACGATCCCAGCATATTTTTTATATAGGGACTCTCTTGAGGCACAGCGTAACACGCGCAATCGGCGGCTTGGCCGTCGAACCTTGAATGGTAGTGGGGGACTCGTAGGCATCGCCTCAGATATCGGCCCAAAAAGGGCATCTAAGTTTAATGTGTTAGCATTATATATTCGTATGAATTATGAATTATCCAGAGAAAGAGAGAGAGAGAGAGAGAGAGAGAGAGAGAGAGAGAGAGAGAAACAGAAAAGAAAGAAATAAAATGTATATAAATGATAATGGTAATTAAATAAAATTTTGAAGTAATGATATTCACACACACACGCACGCACGCACGCACGCACGCACGCACGCACGCACGCACGCACGCACGCACGCGCGCGCACACACACACACACACACAATTTTTAATTTTTATTTTTTTGTAAAATTAGAAATAAAAAAAGGTGTGTGCGTAAGTAAAAAATTAAGAATAAAATAACACATTTATAAAGTAGTAAAAAAGAATATGATTAAAACGAAAAATAAACTGACCTGAATAAAGTCAGAAAAAAATGTATATAGTCAATTATAATATATATTGTCAATTTAAAAGCAAATAAAGGTAAGTGACATTTTTAAAACTGGACTAATATAATAATTTTCCAATGATAAAATCAATCTAAAATCAAATATCACATCTCAAACACTATCATTTTAATTATTTTATAATTAATATTAATTTAATATTGAAGAATATTGCGTCAGTTTATATGATAGAGATTATTGTATACTTTTTTTCTTTGTTTTATTATATTTTTATAGATTCCAACTAAAATTTATATATATTGGTAAAAATCAAAGCAATTAAATGTAGATTAGAAATATTATATGCATATACGGAGATATCGATTGTGTATTCTTGTCAAATATCAAAATTGTCGGCGTGATAGTAGTAAATCAGCGGGTTGAGAAAACCAGTTTACTTAAATGATAAAAATGTTTGCGTGAAATCAAACGAGATTAATTCAGAAAGATGACAAGGAGAAAATGTCTTTGAAAACGAAAGCTGATTTCATCAGCTCACCCGTCAGAGATCTTTCTGTAGCATCCATGTATGCAGTATATAAGTGTTATCGACTGTTATTACTGTTATGGAATACTGCTCTTTGAACAGAAGCAGAACAATCTCCCGTTTTGACGTGTGCGTACCGGAAATTCGGAAAATTGCTTCGATTGATCGTGGATCATGTGTTGTGTAATAATTTTGTGATAATATCTCGCGAAATAGATATTAAGCGATGTCGTACAATAACACATCTAATATTGACGTCTCAGAGAAGAAAAAGACTGAACAACGAGATTCGAGTAAGTGCACAATACATAAATATTTATTGTTTAATAAATGATGTTTAATAAATAAATGTTGATTTTACTTAAGTATGATATATGTGACATTGAAACCTGGCAACTTTATAGTGCCTTTAAAGCTACGAGACATGATTTCTGGTTTCAACGAGCTTCTGTATTGCTGATTATTATTTAAATTTTACTTTTTTTTGGTAGACATATAAATTGCGTGCAAGTAGAGGAAAGTAGGGTAAAACCGGGTACCTTTTTAGATTTGTCTTCCTACAAAAAATCTGAGAGTAAAAAAAATTTTGCCGCCGTTAGTAGTCTTTAGTGAACCTTAAACTATGAGAAAATAAGGCTACTTGCGGAAAAAAAATTTTTGGTTACGATAAATAACAAGATTTTGTGGAGAAGTCAAAGTGCCCGGTTTTGTCCTACCAGTAGGGTAAAACCGGGTACTCATTTAACAATATGCAAAACACTGTGTAATCACAAAATCTAGATTTATTTTAATCAAAATACAATATAAAGATGTATTCTATTGACAAAAATCACAAATAAAGATATCCTCTTGTTCGACATTACTGCAGAACTTCCTTATTTAACTTTTTAACTTTAGGGGTCTCAAAAAGCTTTTTTTTTAGTGGTTTCTTTTTCTGAGCATTAATTTTCGTTTCCAACTGCTTTTCGTAGGGACATAAAGTGAGAATAACACTTCTTCCTCTTTTCATTATATGAGATGTGTAAGTACCCGGTTTTGCCCACAAGAAAAGTAACAAATACGGCGGTTGTATATTCCGGCGTACAAAGTGCCGATCAAAATTAATATGATATACTCTCTAATATATACAGAATGCAATGCTGCACTTACCAAAACAGATACTCTATATAGAAAAAGTGCACGACAAAAAAGAAATATCGTGTGCACAGGGGCACGGTTTGTTTTAAAATAATGATGACGCCAATCTACAACTAATAACACAAGTTAGCCATAGATAGCAGCATTTATTACGAAAAAACAGGGGTACCCGGTTTGACCCGCCTACCCGGTTTTACCCAACTTTCCCCTATGTATATATAGTACATAGCAATTTTCTAGAACTAAATGTATATTTGCAGTTGTGATTGAAGATGTGCCAAATACGAAAATCGCGGATTTCGAAACGGCGATCACCGCCGCTGGAACCGGAAAATTTCAATATCTTCTCATTCTTGGGATTATCCCGGTTTCATGGGCATCTAGTATAGATACATCTAATATGTCAATGATACTTGCATCCGCAGAGTGCGATTTAGGATTGTCACTATTTAACAAAGGGCTTTTAAACGCCATTATCTATGTGGGTGAGTGATAAGATGGCGTTTTGAATTATTTTCAATGCATTTTAAACTAATATTATATTAAAACAATATAATGGAATTATTATATTATAAAATATAATAGTAAAACAAGAGATAAAAAATAGAGTATAAAGAAAATCTATCATAGTTTTATATATGTGTACACAACATGGTGCTAGGTATGGTGTTGAGTGGTTTTATATGGGGCTACCTCGCTGACGTTAAAGGAAGAAAGAAGATTATATTATATGGCTATATGGCGGATGGTATCTGTAATATACTCACAGGTTTCTCGCAGAATTTTGAGACGCTTGTGTTCTTCAAATTTCTCAATGGCATTCTGTGAGAGAAATATTATACTATACTATATTAATTCGATAGCTATTCAAAGAAAAACGAATGAATCAATCTTAATTTAAATATCTATTTGAATTAACGATCCAATTAACGGTCGGTTTTATTTTTGTCATATTAGTGTAAGTGGACCGCATGCCACTCTCGTGGCATATTGTTCTGAATTTTGTGGTGCTAAAGGTAGAGTGAAAATTCCAATTCTTGTCGGCGTCTCCGTTTCGTTCGGATGTGTAGTTAACGCAGGTAAAATAATTTTATGTATATATATTAGAGAAGATAAATTATATAAGCGATTATATTTTAATCTATCTCTATCTGAAATAAATTAATTTTCTCATAAAACTAATATTTATTGTATACTTGTGACTAGTATTCGCCTGGTTAGTGGTTCCTCAGCCATGGTCAATTGTCTTTTGGGACGGTGCCTTTGTCTACAATTCCTGGAGAATATATCTAACCATCTGTGGACTACCGACGTTGATAGGTGCCTTCTGCCTATGTTTCTTTCCGGAGAGTCCCAAGTTTTTGATGTCACAAGGTCGTAATGAAGATGCACTTGAAGTTTTTAGGAAAATCTACAGTATGAACACTGGTCTGTCTAAGGATAATTATTCTGTAAGCTCATAATAGACTAATAATATACAGGGTATATCGTAACATGTGGGACCCACTTCAACGGTCGATAGAAAACATAAAGACAATGAAAAAAGTTCATATAAATATGTGTCCCATATTTGACTTTGTTTTCGAGTTACAGCCAAATGATTCCACTGAACTGTTTGTACAATACTCGATATCTCTCGACCTGTTGATTAGATATGTTCTAGGTTATTCCAGTTTGTTCTCTTGATAAAAGTAGTTGATATTGTGCTGTGCATTAGATGTGTTCTAAGGGTTATTATGATAATGAATTATCCAACCTGGGAAATGGCAGATATGCATTTGATGTATGGATTCACTGAATGTAATGCATTAGATTTTTTATTTGTGGGACCACGTTTATTCAACACCCATTGCCAGCATTGAAATATTTTGTCAACGTATACAAGAAGGCTGCCAACGCATCCGACAAACATCTGGTATTTTTGAAAGTATGCGGCATTTTACGACATGACGACTGCAGACTTGCATTCAGACCGAAGGTGGCCATTTTGAGCACTTCCTACAATGTTAAGATAGTTGTCTCACAAATCGCAATTAACAAAAAGAATTGAAAATTTAACTATACGTTAATAAATGCGGTATCTACACATTTGTACAACTTAAAAGCAATTGACCGTCCCGAACGCGAGATAATAAAAAATTGCACTTTTTATACTTGTTGCCTATGTAAAACGTACGAAAATCTTGTATATTGAATTTTAATAATTAGAAAGAATAACAAGAAAGTAATGAAAAACTAATACAAAGTAGGACACTTTAGGAATTTTATTTAAAAAAACTGAAATTATTGACCGTTTAGTTTTAGAAATATAATAATAAAAAGACCTCACGGTATCATTTTATCCTTGTTGTTCATCAAAAGTTAAACAAAGACAGATGATGCTCGCGAACGTTGCGGGCATTGATTTGGTAATAGCGACTGAAGTGAGGAGGGGATTTGAGGTGGCAGGAGGCACGTACCAAGCAACCATTCCCTTCCGTGGCAGTGGCACTGTCGCAACTGTGTAAGGCATCTACATACTCTATCAGCCCGACAAATAATTGTTAGAAAACAATATTTGTGGACTTGAGAAAATATTTGAGGTACGAGTGGCTGAATCGGGAATCGAACTCGAGCTTTCGCTTTCCGGGCAACTGTTCTTACCACTGAGCTATTCAGACCTCATACCTTATGCTACTTTAACAGAGCTTATACGACTCCAGAGCAATGTTAGAATCTCGCTCAATGGATACAGTGCCGACTGCCATGGAGAGACGACATATCCAGCACGTCTCCAGAGCGAAAGTCATATGGTCCAGCTGCTAGGGCTAGTTGATCGCTCGTGATGAACTTGCATCTATGGATCCTCGAATAGAATGTCGAAAAGTTTTCAATCGGTAACCGTAGGTAGTCGGATGTTTTAATGTTGATTTAGAGTATAAAATTTTGGATTGTGTCGCGAGACAACTATCTTAAACAGTTCCACATTATTGAAGTACAGACATGACTCGGAAATAAGATCAAATGAGACACATGTTTATATAAACTTTTTTCATTGTTTTTGTGTCTCCTGTCCATCGTTAAAGTGGGTTCCATATGTTACGATGCACCTTATATAATAATTGTGTACTACCTTGTATAAAAAAGTTGTTCAGATAACAGTGAAAGAAAGGAATGCAAATATTTCACACTTTTCTTTGTTAGATACATGCCTTGGGGGATATAAATTTAAACAATACTATAGAGCAATCGCATTCATCAAAATCTCAAAATAACACAAAATCTTTAAAGACTGGAATTCAACAGATGAAGCCTATGTGTTTGAACCCAAATCTGTTACGTATGTTGTTATTTGTTACCATACAATTCTGTGGAATGTTATGGTGAGTATTTAATTATTCATATATATATAAATAATATATATATATATGTATATATACAGGGTGTATCTGAAATAATGCACTAAACTTTAGGAGCATATTCTATAAGTCAAAATAAGACTTTTTTTCCTATGAACATGGGTCCGCAAATGAACCCTTCTCCGAGCTAGAGGCCTCTAAAGTTTGGGGAAAAAATTAAAAATTGGAAACATATAAATTAACTTATTTATTCAATCGTTAGATAATATATTCAGAATAACCGTAAATAACATCGTAGAAGCAATTTTCTTTATTATTAGTGATATAATAATTACGAATCCTCGTGAGGTGATCGTCACGAATGTCATAAATCAAAGTTATCAGAATGGTGAGAGTAATAGTGTAATGTGTGCGCGAATATCCGCGTGATACATGTGTAAATCGCACAAGGCTTTTTACGAGATATAATAAGACACATCATTCGTTGTAAAAGTTTAAAACCTCGGTTAGTTATACAAGTGCCACGCTGATGATTGAATGACAGATTTGAGAATTTATGATCTTATCAGCGCCTGTAAGATATACATATACCACACATTTGTTTCTGCATATTTTGCTGAGATATATTTCCATTATCTGGATACATATCGCACCGGATTTCGTATACCTTGTGTATCACGTGTTCTACTAAATTCTTCTACTAAATTAAAGATATGAGTCGAGGAGACGAAAATAAAATTGAATACACATCGTCCCTCGCTTCAGAGAAATCTACTAAAATCTTCTACTAAATTAAAGGATGTCAGGCTAACAATGGCAAATATAAAACGGCGCCGTTTGTCGGATTAATTGTGCAATCTGCAATTAAATTAAACATCATTTTTATTCTCTCGCAAAGAGCATTATCGAACTCGGTGAAAATTTTCCATTGACGTAGATAACGACAAAAATAAGTAAAACGCGCGATTCGCAGACTAAACAATGTAATTTTCGATAGCATATTATAAAGTTAATCTTATATCCACGCATACAACGCACATGTATAGAAATTTTTTATTTTTTCATTTGAATAATGATACAGAAATACATTATATTGACGTGCAATTACAATTGAATTGCGACGAAAAATAAATGATATTCATAAATTCTTTAAATAATCACTGGATTATATTTTTTATTTCGATTTATATTTATACACTTAAACATTTATTCAATAAATGCTAAACAATTTGTTTAACTTTATTGTAACATTTATTAATTGTATATATTGTATTAATGTTTTCTATATTTGTTACATTTATAGTTTAAACACCCTTCGCCTCTGGCAGCCACAACTCTTTACGACGATAGAGAACTTTAACAGCCTTAATACTAATATAACTAATCCTAGTTTTTGTGAAATATTGGATATTTCGACATCTGTCAAAGAAAATAGAACTACTACATTGGAGAAAATGTCAAATTGTGAAAATGTGAGATATATACATGTATAAGAAACGTATATTAATATACAATATACATACAAAGAAAGTTAATTTTAGAAATATCATAATTAAATATAAACAATATTTATTTTTTTAAAATTTTTTTTAGATTTTATTATATTCTCTGTTTAATAAATTGATTATTTCAGATTGTTATAGCAGATTCAATCTACATTGACAATATTATTGTGTCAATTACTTCTAGTGTTTGTATATTCTGTGCCAGCATTTTTGTTAATTATCTCCAACATAAATATCTTTCATGTAAGTTGTCTTCCATTTATGTAAATTGTTTGCAATTATTTAGAAGAGAGCAAGAGAGAAAAAATAGGAAAAGAAAAAACTTTCTCTGTATTAATTTTTTATAATTATTTCTTGATATAGTCATCAGTTACGGATGTGCGCTTTTGTGTTCTATATCTTTAATCTGGTCTACAAATATATTAATCATCCTTACACTTACGTGCTTATACATTGGATTAATGAGCAGCGCTTTTAACGTTACGCTTGGCGCGACTGTTTTGCTTTTCCCCACATCTTTGAGGTTTGCCTCGTTTAAATTTATAAAATAATTTGCGCTGACTTAAAAAGGATATAATAATAATTAATGTGCAGTATGTATTCAATTTTATATCTATTTATCAGAGCCATGGCAGTAAGCATGGAAATGATGATAGGAAGAGTGGGAGCCATGATTGGTAATCTGATATTTCCGATCTTACTTGAATATAGCTGCATAGCACCGATTATTAATCTGACATGCTTCAATTTGGGTAAGTATTTTTATCATTAAAAAACAAAATCTTAAACATATTATCAAAATATTGTATAACATAAAATAAAAGATTCGCGATGCTTCAGATAATTTCACAATGTTCAAAATAGAAATGGCAATGTTAATTTGCTCCTGAAAAAAAGAAAATGCATTATTATTCGCATATATCTCAATTTGCATATATTATCTTATTAATAAATGTAATTCTATATTTTTTAGTATGTATGCTTCTTACGTGTTTCGTGCCGAGTACGCGCAAGCACGCAGTGTAAAGATCGTTGTTTTGCTAAATTATATGAGATCAAAGAGAACAATCAGAAGCAGAGGATCTCTCAAAAAGAGAAACACAAAAGGAGCACATTGTCGGGCCTGCTCAGGTTTCGTACTTCTACGGTCTCTTTTTTAATAACATTTCCGAGAATCCACGATCGTTGAGCGGAGCCTCCAAGGACCTAGATCGAAGCTTATCGTGAACCATGATCGAGCCCGTATGAGGGCGGACAATGGTCATGCATATACATGCATATACACAACGAAAGACTGCACGAGGCCTTGAGTTTCACTTTCGACACATCCTGGAGAGCCCTCCAGCCTTCACCCACATGCTCGTTCTTCTCTATCCCGCGCCTCTTCTCGTGTGGACGCAGCTTTATCGTAAATCTCAGGACCTCGTCATTTCCATATGCCATTGTTGATCAATGCAATAAAAAATGTATCACGATGTACGTAAATTTCTATTCGAGAAGAAAATCGAGATGAACATGCAAATAAAGTATGAATTAAATACATTATCATGCAGATTGTTAATGAATAGATTTACGGCAGTGTTTTAACTATTTTTAGACACATAAATATGTGAATTATTTAAGAGAAACTCTGAAATATGCAGTGCATATTAATAACTCTATTTTATGATATTTAACTTACATATATAAACTTATATAAACTTATACTTTATAAAGGAATAGGTGGTTTTCGAGAATTATCACAATAAATTAGTGATTATAGGATTTGTAAATTACTCACGTTTTTTTTTGTATGTGATTTCTATGTAACTAAAGAGGAAGAAAAAAGAGAAATTGTGATATATATTATATAATTTATAAAAATTATTATTTTTAGGTAAATATATATTGATAGCAATACACACGCACATATGTATATTATTTTATTGTCGCAGATGCTGCAGAAATGTAAAGTAATTAAATTAAACAATTATAATATAAACAACATTTATATGGCAAATATATAATTGTTATAAAATAATATAGAATTATTCTATAATTTTGAACGTAATGCGCACATTTCGATGATTAACGTGTGAAAATTAGATAGAAAGTACTAGCATTGCGTTCGCGCGCGACGGTTACATAGTTAACAGTTAAATATATGGAGTTACGCAATTAAATTGCACGCGTGTTTAACTGTTAATGAAATCACGTAGTGTTTCATTAACGGCAGAACGCGCGCGCGCGAAATACAGTTTAAAGTGTCGGCAACTTCCTATGGCGTTTCATGATATAAGGGCTCCGCGCGACGCCCTGAAACTGCATTCCGCATAAATTGCGGAAAGGAGCTATGCGCTGCACACACGTATCCGTCAGTGAAAAAAACGTGTCTGCATTTATTCCATTCGTCCCATCCACGTCATGAACAACCGCCGGGGCGACTCAATGTCTGCATTAAAAGCCGACACGTACTTGCAATCCGGTATGCGTTAATATCCCAACAACGATCTGCATCTTCAACAACTTCATCAACGGCTTCATTTAACAGATATCTTACCCGACCACCTCTTAGTTACATGATCGAAGGTATTGTGAAGGTTCCTTTGGATATCTTCTCGTAGTAACGTTTTCATATCAATTACACAATGCTATCTATTAGCATTAACAAGTTGTATTTTGTATAAAATATAATGAAAAGGAAGAGAGAGAGAGAGAGAGAGAGAGAGTTTTCTGCTCATATTCTAATTATCATCCGTTCAATAGTATAGTAAAATGTTTAGAAATCTTTCTTAGCTCTTTAAATCAAACATCTAACAAGTAACTTCGAGATCCGCCATCGAGATAAATATATATTCTATTTACATCAAATTAAATTCTTACAATTAATTATTACAATAAAGATTAAAAGCAACTTTTGTCCTAAATATATCCGTGCCTCTCTCGGTGCAAAAAACAAATAATCATACAAAGAAAAATGGGAAGAACAGACCGTTAATCAAGCGAGTCGCGTGAGAATCACTTCTCTAATCATTCTATACGGACACGAAGTATCGTCTCGTATCGCGATTTCACGGTCGCTATTCGCTCGATCGTTCCTTCTCGTGGGTACCACTGTGGCAAGATAGTCGCATCGGGATCGCATCAGTATGATACTGTTAACTCATCCCGCAAATACTCTTGGGCTTCCATGCGGCTTCCGTTGCTTTTCCACCGCGGCGTTCTTGAAGAGTTTAGAGTCAGCGAAAAAAAAGAGGAAGAGAGAGAGAGAGAGAAAAGCTGCGCTCTCTAACCGTTTATCATCTCATTTATCGTTGCATCCCCAATTGGTCTCACGCACAACTGCATAAGTAAAGTTAAATCTATCGTTAATATATATATGTATATATACAGGATGGGGCATTTAAAGTGTTACAAGCTATTATCTCTGAAAGTACACATATATATTATTAATTATTTTTTTTATACCAATTGATTTGTCTCATTATTCTGTACATAAAAGTATGACGGTAAGATTATCGAAAACTAAATATTTTACGAGATATTTTATTTTTTATATCAAAATATGTCAGATTAAAAATAAAAATCTTTGTTATCATCATAATTATATATATCCGCTACCGGTTTTATGAGCAGAAAAAAATATAAAGATATCTGTAGATATTCGTCGAATATTTTATTCAGTTTTTTTTTAATAAAAAAATATGAGAAGATACTTCAATCGCGGTAACATTAAAAAAATAATTATTTATGAGCATGATTGCTCCAGAGTAATATCTCGAATGCTTAGAGAATAGATCGGTCAGGAGGTTGAAGAGCAGGCGTCAACCTTTGATAAATTCGCCGCTTACTTCTTTTCTACACAGGCGGCGGATAATCCGCAAAATTAATTAATGACGGTTGCCAGCGCGCAGAGTGACGACCGGACGTAGGCGTTCGGCGGGCTAATTACAGGCTTCTTTTTTGTTTTTAATTGCAGACGTGTTTTTCTTTAGTGAGACATGCTGCTGGAGATCGATGAAAAGTTAGTCGAGCGACTCAGCTGCCGTCAAAGTCAATCGACTTCTAGAGAGTAATCACTTTGAACGAACTAGATGAGTCATACTTTCAGCATGGTTCATATTCTCTATGTGCAGTGCAATAACCGGATGCCGATGTTTGTTCTTTAGCAAGTGAACTTGAAAGTGAATCATTTCGGCAAGGACATTCAATTACGAATTTATTACATGCTAAAAGAAATCTTATTGAAACGCTTTGATTTCGCAATAATTCTTACAGATGGGTGATATTTTAATTTTATATCATCTATATAATCAAGTGTTTTGTATTGTAGAAAGAGTATGATAAAAATCAACTATAATATATATACAGGGTAGGCCATTTTAATGTATCCACTGAAATATATTAAAATCTATAAGTTTAAGATAAAAATGTTTTAGACAAAAGTTGTATGATTCACAGGGGGACACATGATGAAAATATGGACTTGACCTTGAATGACCTTTTCAAGGTCAAGTCAATGTGATCGATGTTTTCTTAAATAGAACCCACCATTTTTTATTGCATATTCTTGTAGCTTATCTCGAGAACTTTTCAAATATATTAAATATCAATTATATAAGAAAAACAATGTAAAAATTAATACTACAATATTATTAGTTGATTATCTCAGGGCATGTGTTCATATATTTTTTTATCTCTTAGAAAAAAAAGATAATCTATACTCTATAGTATGATTAAAATTTAACGTTCAGAATTAAATTCTTTTGGCGAGCAAAGCATACACTTGTTCATAGATCATTTAACTCAAGATAATTGTTTTGATCGCATCGTTTTACAATTGGATAACGGCAACAAATACAATCGCGTAGTGCGATGTTCGTTAATTCTCCTTCGCTTCCACGGATTTTCTCGCGATTGCTAAACGAGCAATCCCACGATCCCCGTTATCGG